CGGGCCCGCGACGCCAGCACCTTCATTTTGTAAAGCCTCTGCGTGGTTCTCAGGTTGCAGTTACAACGCTGCCCACCGTCTGGCGACACCAGAGAGAAATGGAAAAGCAAAAGCCCTTCAAGCTGTTTGTGCCGCCAAGACTAAGCAGCAGCCAGGTGTCCGCTGTGAAACCTCAGACCTCGGGTGGAGAGTCCAGCTTCTTCAAGGTAATTTCATTTTTTTGTTGGTCATGGGGCTTGAACTCTGGGCCTGGGCGCTGCTCTTCAGCTCAAGGCCAGCGCTCTACCACTTGAACCACATGGCCACTTCGAGCTTTCTGGTGGTTAACTGGAGATGAGTCTCATGGACTTTCCTGCCCCAGCTGGCTTTGAATCTCGATCCTCAGATCTCAGCCTCCTGAGTAGCTACAATGACAGGTGGGAGCCACTGGAGCCCCGCTTTCATAATCCCCTGCCCCCCCCCACCAAAATAATACAAACATAACTGCTGAGCCTTACTGTGTGTACATGTCGTTTACTTAAATGCATTATAACAATCTCTGGAACTCTGTATATAGTAGGACCTGTTTACTTAAATATACCTTCTTTCCTTAAAAGGTTCGAGGTTATTTATAAGATACATAAAGTAAGATAGGAAAATTTCCGAAGAATTGGACAAATGCTGACATGGGCAATAATTAGTGTTCTGAGTGAGTTTCAGGTTTTGTCCAGTGCTTCCTGGGAGACTGGATAAAGAGGAAAACCCACCTATAAGTGAAGCTTTTACCAAGTTTCTCAGGTGAAACAAAGCTTTTGATACCAGTGATTTATTTTTTAAAAATTCCTTGTGTATTTATATTGGAGGCAGGATAGTGCAGGTTTTTTTTTTTTTTTTGGTCGGTTGTGGGACTTGAATTCTGGGATTGGGTGCTATCCTTGCATTCTTAAGCTCAAGGCAAGTGCTCTTCCACTTGAGCCACAGCACTTCCGGTTTTCTAGTGGTTAATTGGAGATAAGAGTCTCGGACTTCTCTGCCTGGGCTGGCTTTGAATCGTGATGGTCAGATCTCAGCCTCCTGAGTAGCTAGGATTACAGGCATGAGTCACCGGTACCCAATGCAGTTTTTTGTTTGTTTGTTTGTTTACTTTGTGTACTGGTCCTGGGGCTTGAATTCAAGGCCAGGGTGCTTGTTCTTGAGGGTTTTTGCTCAAGGCTAACACCCTACTATTTGAGTGACAACACCCACCACTCTGGCCCTTTGATGGTTAACTGAAGGGTCTCGCTAACTTTTCCTGCCTAGTCTGGCTCGAAACTGTGATCCTCAGAGATCTGTCTCCTGAGCAGCTAGGATTACAGGTGTAAGCTACCAACAGTATTTTAATTTATATGTTGTAAATTTATTTTTGTCAATTGTGGGGCTTGAACTCTGGGCCTGGGTGCTGTCCCTGAGCACTTCAGTTCAATGCGAGCGCTCTACTGCTTGTGCCATAGCACCACTTCCAGTTTTCTAGTGGTTTATTGGAGATAAGAGTCTCACAGAGTTTTCTGCTTGGGCTGGCTTTGAACTGTGATCCTCAGATCTCAGCCTCCTGAGTAGCTAGGATTACAGGCATGAGCCACTGGTGCCCGGCACTGTCCCTGAGCTCTTTAGCTCAAAAACCAGTGCTCTACCACTTGAGCCACAGCTCCACTTCCAGTTTTCTGGTGGTCAAGTGATGCTAAAAGTCTCACAGACTTTCCTACCTGGGCTGGGATCCTGATTTGAATCAGGATCCTCAGACTTCAGCTTCCTGACAGGTGTGAGCCACCTATGCCTGGGAGATTTCTTTTTTAAATTGGTGCAATAGCTAAGATAGATATTTTAAAATGTATTCAGAGCTGGGTATGGTAGCACAAAACTATAACCAAATACAAGGGAAGCAGAGCCAGAGGATTTTATAAAAATTTCAAGCCAGTTTAGACTACATAGAAAGATCTTGTCTTAGTCACACTCCAAATGGAAAACAACTGAAAAAATGCTATTAAATGAAGACAATTTTTAATTTGAGGGGAAGATCACAAGGAAATCTAAGGAAACTATTTTATGCTATTACCTAGTAAAATTATTTTTGAATATCTAGAGAGCTTGTGTTAAATAATTTATAGCTATATATATTTAGTTATATATAGTTTAGATTTTTTTAACAGTGAATATACTTTGTTTTAGCATGTTTTATTTGCATATCAAAATAGTGTGTCTGAGGTGTTGTGTGTGTAACTGGAGTCTGAACTTAGATGTGTGCTAGGCAGGTGCTATGTTCCTAGCAATTTTTTATTTTTTTGTTTTTTTATTTTTTATTTTATTGTGAAAATACCACACAGAGGGGTTACAATCACATGAGCAAGGTAATGAGTACATTTCTTATCAAGCATTGCTGCCTCCTCCTTTTTTTCCCCTTTCTATCCCTTCCCATCTCCCCCCCTTAATTGGTTATTTTTGAGATAGTGTCTTTATTCATGCCTGAGCTGGTCTGTACTGTGTAACTCGAGATGGCAGGCTCATGCCACTATGCCCAGCCTTTAGTTTAGGATATTTTTGACTAGCTATGCTGCTCAAACAATTCCCCCTTCTCAAGTAGCTAGAGAGCTTTACTGTGTGTAAAGCAAAAGCCTTAAATTTTTTTTTTTTTTTTTGTCGGTCGTGGGGCTTGAACTC